GAGACCATAAGAACTTTTCTTCAGATTATCTTTTCAAAACGCCAATTTCTTTTAGATTTATGATTACAGAGTCAGTGAATTTGAAGGAATTATCACCCCCATCAATTAACTCCACAGCGCACACAATATGTGGAACGGGGACAAAGAAGGTATGAAGATCTTCCCTCCATCTGTAGATCCCAGAGGGACTTGGTATTCTTGGTTGCAATGTAACAACCTCTGCTTCTTGCTCTTCAGTATTTATGTCTGTGAGGTAAGCCAAATGCCGACGACCTGCAGCCTTAACAATTATATAGGAGCCAATCTCATAGGAGGGGGCAGGTGGTTGTTGCTGTGGTTGATTCAGTAGACAATGTCTAAGGGCATAATTGCTATCAGAAGTGATTCGTTTGCAACCAATTGTGTTTTCTTTAAAAGGAGAAATAGCTACATTAATTTCTAATTTCATTTCAAAAGTATAGATTGAAAAATATATTTACACTTTACCTGATAGTGGTTCAAAGCAGTGGAATGTCCTAGTGCCAGGTACAGTAACAAGTTGATCATTAGGAAGCTGTGCTGTCCTCTAAATTTCTGCCTCTTCCTTCGAAACAAAAATAAAATTTATCTTCTCAGAAATTTTGTGAGATTTCAGAAATTCATAGACTTTTTTGGCAGAGTTGATTGGGTTATCTTCTAGGCACTGAAGGCTCTTATTAGTAAGAAGTCGTTTGATGTTACCAGCCATAGCATCACATAGTGCTTTACCATGGCTTGTAGCAAAGAAACTATGTTTGGCTGGAAGACCGAACTCTCTTGCATGCTGGCAAAGGTTGTAAAAGCTCAACTTATTTTTATACTGAGCGGCACATCCATCTGTGATATATTCTACCTCAGTAACATCAGGATAATTAGACTGAACAATGCTTATTGTTTTTCTCTGAAATGTTTTCACGAGGCCAACATCATGGTTTAAGTCATCAGAGATAAAACAAATACTATCAACTTCAACTTTTTGTTCTTCCCCTGTTTTGTGGTACAATACCACAGGATGCAATGTCACTTGTATTTTGTTAAAGTGATATGGCTGAGTCTCACGATGAAAAGTACATGAGTAATTCATGGCAAAATCCATGAGAATTTTGATTTGATGTGGTGGCATTTCTTCTTTGAATTCTTTTACATATTGTGCTTGTTTTCTTGCAATGAAGTCATGAGGAATTAAATTCACAAGCTGGTTCACAGCAATGTTCAGAAGCTCGGAACGAGAAGCAATCAGGTCTGCCAGTTCTGATCTATCCGTAGACTTCCATTGGTGGTAAACAATTTCTTCGTCAAAAAGATCACTTTCATATTCAATTACTTCCATAATGTCAGCGACTTTCTTGCGAAGAAGGGCAAGGATTAGAGAATTTGAAGGACATTTATCACAAAGACGTAACATACAAGTTCTTGACTCGCTGTCACAGTCAAGAGAAGCTATGAGGTCTCTATAATGCTCTTTAATCTTGAGTGCATGTAAAATTAGTTTAAAATCTTCATGGATTTGGCAGACACACACTATGTGGGTGCCAGAACTTCTTGGAAAAACACACCACTTTAGTCGAAGAGAACAAAAAATTGGAAGACCAACTTTAAGATCTGGATATTGCTCTTTAAATGTAGCATACAACTCACCAACAGTTAATAATAAAAGTCTCTTCTGTTCATATACATTTTTAGATACACTCACACAGTCTCTTCTGCCAGGAAGAACTTTAGTTTTCATCTTCACAGTAGAATTTGACAACAAGCTCTTTACTTGTATCTAAAACTGTTGAGGTTCTGGTAAATTTTGGAGCAGCCATTATACCCTTTTGCTGCTTAAGTTCTCGGGCTCTTTCAAAGAGAGTTCTACTGACACCGAAGAACTGCACTCAGCTTTACTTGCTATTTGTAACTTGTCCTTTATATCCATCATTAGTAAATCCATGTCTTCAGCTTTATGATGAGTTTCTGGCAAAAGCTGCTCAGGCGTGACATTTAAAAATCGACTAATTTTCTACTGTATATCTCTTGTTATTTCCTGTACCTTTCTTTTGCCATACTCAATACGTCCAGCCAAATATCTTGATGGGTTGATGATAGAAACTTTCATCTCAGAGAGAGCGTCAGCTGCCTGCTCTTTTCGCAATGTGGGTGTAAGAAGAGAAGATGAAGACGAACTTGGCTTCCGTGACAAATCTGTTGAGTCATTTTTGGGGTCGCTTTGAAAGTTGTGTATTCTGTAAATACAATTGTAGCAAATGCTGTTGCCAAACACAATATGCAATTTCTTTTCTTTGGCAACACATACCAAAGAAATAGTGACTGGAGATAGTTTCTTTTTAACACGCTGTTGGTGGCATTCAAAGGGATCACAGCATCTATTTGTAATTGTTGGTGTGCCTTCTTTATACTTTCCAACAAATTCGGCATAATGAAACTTGCAAATGGAGGATGGTATTTTTAATTGCCATAAGCCACTGCTCCAACTCAATGCATAAAGCTCATCACTGTTAAAGGTGCTGACTTCAATAAAATCTGACAGGCAAGACCCGGGTTCTTCAAATATGCATTGTAATGGCCCTAAATAAATATTAAATCAATTGTATACTTCATTACATAAAATCTACTTCATCTATATTTTTATTATAAAATTCAAATTATTTCACATACCTTGACTTTCTGAAGTTTGATTTTCTGTATCATAGACTAAATCTGGGGCCAGGGTAGAGTGAAGATTCAAGCTAAAATCTGAAATCAAAGAACTCTAATGAGTTTCAAATAGAATGATCCAGAGTCAATGATAATTAATAGATAAAATGTTTTTACCAGGAGGATTGTCGTTGTCTGTTGGGGAGGTATTATCCTTGGCGTCACAATAACAGCTTCCACACAAGTATTTTCCTTCTAATCTCATCAATACGGGGTCACCTTTATGTTCTTTTTCTGTTATTTTTATTAATCCTAATGTTATTTTTACCCTGTGAACCTTATCAGAATAGAAGCAAAACTTTTCTTCAGCACCTTAAAACAAAATAAATAAAAATATAATATTGATATTGATTGATGTAATATTGGTTGATTGATATTGACATAAACAAGTTAACTTTTGACTCTGTTGGACTGCTTGTTACTTACGACTGTTGTCTATAGCTGGGATGGTTTCTACATCTGAGACGGGTAGTGCTGAGACAGGTACTGAAGCAGGAATATTTTCTGCAATATTGGGAATGATGAAATCCTGTTCACTACTTGTTTTATCTGTAGAGTAAAATCACAATCTCAGGCAAACCTAAGTACACACACATACTAAATGTGTTAAAAGTCAATAGAAATACCTTGATTTACAGGCAAATTGTCTCTCTGCTTGCCCCTGTTTTTACGGCACGAACTGCACCATGATTGCCCAACAACAAGAGTTGGATCTTTCTCAAAGTCCAGCTCAGTAATAGTGCGTAAATCTTTGGTCACTGTAGTCTTGTGCCTTGTATACGAAAACATACAAGTCTTAATTTCACCCCCTGAAACACATTACATGATTCATTTTGTAAGTCAATGAAAAACATGTATTC